AAAAGTCTGCAGCAAAAAAGTAGCTGTCCTGGAAAGAAAATATTTAATTCTTTTTCTCTCTATGCACCATTTTAGTATTTTTCCATGTGTTTCTGATCATCTCAGGGAGATGTATAGTTTTACTCAACTCCAGAGAAATAAAACTCTTGGCGAGGCAGAAATCAGCTAGATCTCAAAGATTTTAATACTACCAAGGGATATGTGTGGAGCCTGTTGATGCTGAAAGGTAGGCAATGCTAATGTGTAAACCCAGGCATAAGAAAGTGTCAGAAATGCCATTCACTGAGAGCAGGATTGAGCTCTAAGTCATGCCAAACGGCATATTCAGTGTTTTACTTCAGTGTTGCTCCCGGCCTGGCCCAGCTGCACACATGGATTCCTCTCACTGAAGGACAGGGTGCCATTAAGCAGGATGGACTTAGCTGGAATCAAAGGTCAAGGCCTCTCAGCTCTGGAGAGAGCACAAGCTCTGCTCAGGCACTAGTTATTCTTCACAGTTCTCCCCAGTTGAAGAAAGAGAGACAGAATTTATCAGGAGAGCCCCATGAGGATGGGAAGGGCAAAGCACACAGGAGGGAGGCAGGAGCTGCTTATGAGGAGTGGGGTCACACTGGGGCTGGCACCCTCTGTTCAGTTCCCACAGGTTCCACTTGAAGAGCAGATGTCTGGCATGTCTCAGGACTACATTTTGCTGCAGTCACCCCTGTCACACTGCAAGTGTGTGGTGTGGAACCCATGCCACTGCTCTTCAATGCTGTCTCTGGTAGGAGAGATCCACTTACTTAACTCCTTCTTCACAGGGTTTCTTTTTGGCACCCAGAAGGCATAGGTGCAGTGCATGTGTCCAATGCTGTCCTTTTCTCCCATGAGGTAGTCTTCAGTCCCTTGAAAGACCTCTTAGATCTGCAGTTTTGGAAGCTGAGCTGTGGATGCCGGTAATAGGAATGAGGCATCTAATTGCTTAGTTTAGAGAGGGAATCTGGACACCCCACTGATTTTTCCAAATGTTTCTGGGCCTAATTGGAATGAAGCCCATTAACTTCAGTGGGCTTTGGATGATTTCCTATATACACAGAACTTGAAAAATTATGCTTTAAAAGAAATACCGAAGTTAAATTGGGAAATTTTAACAATTCTCTTTGTCTTTTAATTTAGCGGCTCTATGCTGACAATATAATTAGAGAGATGCTATGTTAATTAATGCCAGATGACATTAGTGGGATGGCAAAAGCATCCAGTTTTCTAAAGAATAGTTCACAGTTGAACCGTTCCTCTCTCCCCACCCCATTTTTAGCAGAGAACTATATTCAAAAAGTCGGAGACAGCAGAATTAAACCAAAAGTCAAACTGTTTGCAAATACCAGTAATATGGTACATCTTAGCACGTCACTTTCAAGACAAATCTAATGCGGTTGCAGTAAAAGGCATTAAAGATGTTTCTTTAGTGCCTACATCTAAAAAAGATGGAAGGTTTGCAGGACCTCATCTTCAAGCCGGATGTGCAGCTTTTAAAACTGTGGGGCAGTAATATTTTTTAGGATAATATTGTAAACAACATAACAAGTTGAGTCCAGAGAGAGGGCCACCAAGATGCTTAGAGGGCTGGATCAGCTCTTCTATGGAGCTGAGAGGCTGAGAGATGGGGCTGTTCAGGCTGGAGAGAATGCTCAGGTGAGACCTTAGAGCAGCTTCCAGTACTTAAAAGAGGGCCTACAAGAAATCTGGAGAAGGACTTTTAACAAGGGCATGTAGGGATAGGACAAGAAGTCATGGCTTTCGGCTGAAAAGAGGGAATATTTAGATCTGATACTGGGAAGCAGTTCTTCCCTGTGAGAGTGGTGAGGCAGAGAAGCTATGGCTGCCTCATCCCTGGCAGTGTTCAAGGCCAAGTTGAAAGGGGGCTTGGAGCAACCTGGTTTGGTGGAAGGTGTCCCTGCCCACAGCAGGGGATTGGAACTGGGTGAGCTTTAAGGTTCCTTCCAAACCAAACCATTCTGTGATTCTAAGTTACACGTGGTACAAGTGAATTTGCATATGGTGCTGGGAGAACAAAATGTTAATATAAGGTTATGTAGCAGTTAATGCTATTTGCATTGTCATAGCTGCATACTTCCATCTGCTCTGCAGTGGGGAAAGGCACAACTGCAGCATTTACACTCTGCTTATCTTACAGTCTAGAATAACATGCTGTAATTAAGGGATTAAAAAAAAACAAAACAACTTTATCACTTTCTTCATGTGTTGCCCCATGAATAATAATGTCTACTAATGTACACCCTGAAGAACCTTCTTGTTAGCAACTGCTGCAGCTCATTCTTCAGTGACTCAATGAGAAACTAAACGTGAGCCGCCAGCGTGCTCTTGCAGCCCAGAAAGCCAACTGTATCCTGGGCTGCATCAAAAGGAGAGTGACCAGCAGGTCGAAGGAGGTGATCCTGCCCCTCTACTCTGCTCTCGTGAGACCTCACCTGGAGTATTGTGTGCAGTTCTGGCGTCCTCAACATAAAAAGGACATGGAACTGTTGGAACAAGTCCAGAGGAGGGCCATGAGGATGATCAGGGGACTGGAGCACCTCCCGTATGAAGATAGGCTGAGAAAGCTGGGGCTGTTCAGCCTGGAGAAGAGAAGGCTGTGTGGAGACCTCATAGCAGTCTTCCAGTATCTGAAGGGGGCCTATAGGGATGCTGGGCATGGACTCTTCATTAGGGGCTGTAGTGATAGGACAAGGGGTAAAACTTAAACGGGGGAAGTTTAGATTGGATATAAGAAAGAAGTTCTTTACTGTAAGGGTGGTGAGGCACTGGAATGGGTTGCCCAGGGAGGTTGTGAACGCTCAATCCCTGGCAGTGTTCAAGGCCAGGTTGGACAGAGCCTTGGGTGACATGGTTTAGTGTGAGGTGTCCCTGCCCATGGCAGGGGGGTTGGAACTTAAGGTCCTTTCCAACCCTAACTATTCTATGATTCTATGATTCTATGACCTTGCACTATTCCTGTGTTTAAGGTGCATAGTGGACAACCCAGCTACCACTGAGGCCACAGGAACAGAACCTAGGCTTGTGCTCTGTGTAGCTGAGCATTTGAAAAGTCATTTTTGGTTTAGGGTCTGTGGATTTCTCAGGCTCCTCAGATAGCTGGAAATGGAGTTGCAGTGATAAGGCAAAACACGTTCACATTCAGTATGAGTCCATACATGTGGTGTTCATGTTCTGTGGGAGTTCATCTATATTAAACTTCAACCTATGCATGTCAAAGGGCCTCTACACTAGGAGGTCCATACCACTATATGAAATTTGTTAGAGCACAAAAATTAACATCCCATGAGAACTATAGCCTTTATTTTAATATAAACTCACATATTTAAAATTGCATATCTAGAGATATTTATCTATGGGTGTAAATATTTACATGTTTCACTATATGCTGTCTTGTAGATCCTGTCTTGAGTAGAGTTAGTAAGTTAAAAGTCTTAGGGAATATAATTGTATCCCACTGTGGCAGCAGACAAAAGCTTGTGCTGCTCTAGATAGGCCTTAAAAAGAAAACTCTTCTGTAGGTGGTCTTAGTGACAGGGCAGCATCATGAAGTGGGCAGCACTTCCTTAAAGGTCTTTCCTGGGAGGAGAAGAGGAAAAGTAAAAACTGAAGGCTGGAACATCCCAATATATCTCAAATGCTGCTCCTGGGTAACAAACGGAATCTTACACCAGAGCAAAATAACCTGCCTGCATAAAACAAAACACACAGCCCATACAAACCCATGCAGCCAAATCAAACCTCTTCACAAACTTGGTCATGTAAACAGTTCACATGCGCAGGCTGATCAGGTAGTGTCTATCCTTCCACTGAGTGCTGTAACATTGGCCTAAAAGCATGAAACCGCCAGTATTGTGCCAGTATTGTGGCCTTCGGCCAAACCAGCTGTAGTGTAACTGTGTGCTTGTGCATGGCCAGGACTGAATCTGTATTGGTGCTTATCTGACAACGTCTGCATCACTCACTGCTGGCTAAACCAGCCCAGGACCCTTGGCCTGTCTATGTGTGACAGAAGAATTTCCTTTACTAGTAATAATATTCTAAATTCATGGCAAGCAAACTTGAAGTTGCACAAACCCACTTACCCTCCTGTAGTAACTCTGCATTGGCTTTGCATCTGCTTTGCATAGAGTTCAATGCCAGGAAAAGCCACAGGAAAATCAACTCTTGTCTCAGCTTGTCTGACACTCTCTGTTAACAGGGAAAGCTCACTATTCTTCTTGAGGCTGGAGCTGTATTTTACATTTCCTCCCTCCCCCACCTCACAACTGCTGATGGGTGGTGAAAGCTCATGTATTCTCAAAATTTAAATGTCACTGGATTTATTGTATGCTGTTTATAATTGGACAAATCAGAGTAGTGTCAGTATGTGGCTGACGGGATCATACTTGGCCTAGTGCTTGATATCAGAAGGAAAGCAACCTGGCAGAGTAGGGAGCTGATTTGCCCTAAGATCCATATCCACAGAGGATCCAGAAGACTTGGACAGGAATATTTTAATGCAAATGTGAAGAAGCCTTTTAATTGATGAATATGCTTTAACTTAACAAGAGTATTTAGCCATAGCACATTGAAGAGTTTTTGGATTTGAGGACATACATCTTCTTTGCCTGTGTTCAGAATCCGCTGTACAAATTGCACTGCTGAAATAAGCACTAAAATGGAGTCAATAACTCAAAACAGCACTTCCACAAAATCTAGCATTGCTTGTGTTGACTTTTCATGAGCTTTTATATCGCTGCAGTGTATGGGTTGGAACTTAACGGTTTTCATCAGCTCGTTCATTTCAACTTATTTTCAAAGGTCTTCACACATAAACCTGAGAAGGTATTTCTAAGCAAAATTTAATTAGAGCAAACAATTTTGTAATAGACATTTATAAGCAAATCCATGCACAAAAACTGAAATAATCACCAAACTTTTCATTCTTTTTTCCAGAACCCTAACAATTCCTTTTCCCTTCCCAGGACACAGAGAATGATTGTTGGCACATTTCATTGAGATCACATGGAGATATGACAATTCAAGCTACCACTGGGACCTGAAATTTTCACAGAGAAGGTTCTACTACAGGCAGCTGCTCTCCAGACACGCTTCTGATGCCAGCTGTGACTGTGTGGGTTTAAGGACGAGCAGCATCTCCCCATACAAAGCCTTGTAGATGAGAACAAACGGTCAAAGCTGTGTGTGGAGCACCAGTGCTATGTTCAGACCTGAGCAAGTTTTCCTGTTAGGCAGGCATTTTCCCACTGCACGAGGAAGAACCACAACACTCAAAACAGTTTTCCTAGAGGGGGGGAAAATATGAAAGTGAGATCCGGCCATCCTGAAATTGCTGATCAGGGCGTTTACCTCAGTCACCGAACATCTGCATTCAAATCCTTTCTTTGCCTCTCTCACACCACAGATGGGAATGTGGGTTTCCCACATCCCGAGCTTGTGGTTTTACCACCAGGCTACTTGTTCTTTGAAAGCAGGTCTCTCTTTTTGCTTTTACATCTGCTCATGTGAGGTAACCTACTTAATAAGCAAACTGAATCACCCCAGTTTAATTTGCGAGATGATTTCATGTTATATCGTCACATGTATTTTTGCAAGAGTCTCTTTTAATGAGGCTGTTGGGAAACAATCTAATAATATTAAACACACACACAAAAATGACCAGGTTACTAACACCTAAATTCCTGTGAGAGGAGAAATGGGGATCATAGTTTCCCAATTTCATTTTCTGCACTATTCACAATGATATATACCATCCCGTGGCCCAGGAGTACCCCTATAGAAGCTCCCATCAGAGCCCACAGGACTTGTCACTGATTTCAATGACATAAACAACTTGTTTCAGAACACAGGAAAAGCTTGTCTGACCTTTTGCAGTGTCTGCCTGAAGAGACACCATTTTTCACACAACAGCTCAAAGATGTGTTTGTTTTCTACCCAAGTCTCAACACCCCATTGTGAGGGAGTAGTCCCGAACACCCCCACTGGGGCTTTGGCTCACTGAGGTGAATTTATCACAAGAACACACTTTCTACATCAGACAGCACAGCCCCAGAGGGTTAATGCCTTGGATGCTCAGCTGGATGCAGCCCGAAAGCAGAGCCCCTTAGATGCACATTCAGAATGAGAAGAGCTGGAAGCTGTCACACGCCACTGCCGAGAACAAAGCTCCGGCCTCTTAAATTAAAACTTTTGCACACCAGATGCGTAGACACGACGTGTTTATTTTTGACCTTCCAATTTAAGGAGGGAAACCGGCCAAATTAATCCCTTGCGTGAACCAGTCGGCATCACTGGAGTTACCCTCGGAGTAAGCTTTGTTAGCAACAAGGTTCACAACCTTTGTCTGAGACCTGGCAACGTGTTTCAAACAACTCTTACTGCTTGGGACGTAACACCGGCACATAAATGACACTGTAGTACACCAGTCGACATGAAAGCCTTTCAATTTCAAGGAACTATGGTTTTGGCCTTTTAATAAGAAAAGAGGCTTCACTATGAAGTTGTTAATTTGCTTTTACCCACCCCCCCCCCCCCCTCAATTCCCCCTTGTTCATTAACTTTCACACACAGCATCCCGGTAGCTATTACTAAAGCTTTAGCATCCTATTTAGAAACGGGCAAAAGCCGCACAACTTTAACGGGCTCCTAACTTTCGCAGCGATTCCGCAAGGCCTCGGCTGACACCGTCGTGCCCGGCTACGGCCAGGAATGTTTCTTAGGTGCAGCCAGGCACTGCCTTTCACCGCCCGGCCGTCACCATGAACCGGCGAGGCCGACGCTCAACCTCCTTCCCTCAGCACCCCGCTCTAAGGAGCTGAGGCGGTGCGCGCCGCGTCCCCGCCGGCGATGAAGGAGGGGAAATGGCGAGGAAGCGCTGGAATTGTACTTATTTCCCTTCGCCCGCCTCGAACGCGCACTTCCCGAACGAGCGCTCCCTCACGCTGCAACACAAAACGCCTCCTCCGAGCCCCCCCTCGCCGCTGCCCGCAACCGGCAGCCCCAACTCCCCCCTCTCCTCTCCTCTCCTCTCCTCCTGCCGCGCCGCCTCAACCGGCCGCGCCAGGACGACGAGAAGAAGAGGAAGAGGGAGGCGCCGCCGCTGCCGCAAGGGGCGGGGGAGCGCGGAGCGCATCGATCGCTCCAGTGCGTGCATCCACCCATCCACCCTCTCGGCGCTCGGCTCCCTCGGCAGCTCCAGCCCTCCCCGTCCCCCGCCATTTCAGACCGGGACGGAAAGGAACGCAGAGCGGCCGCCGCGGCGGGGCGGGCAAGGGAGGTGCCAGCGTGCTCCCGCGGCAGCGCCAGGCAGGTACCGCCTGCCCCATACCCCACCGAACCGGGACTGAATCGCCGTGTTTGCTTTCTTCTCCTTCTTTTCCTTTCAGAGATGGGGTGGGAAGGGAGCGGTGCTGCTTTCCGGAGCCGGACACCCTCCGACTCCGCGTTCCCCTCCGACCCGCGTCCCCCTCCTTTCTCCCGGCGTCGCCCCGCAGAGGAGCCGGAACGCCGGCTAACTGGGTGGGGGCCTCCACCGGCCGCTTGTCCCGCTGCCGCCCGCGGGGTTGAGCCCTGCCCCGCTTCCCCTCCGCCGGCATCCTCCAGAGCAGCCTCCGCCTGCCCCTCCGCCGTCCTTCCCCGCGGCGCGGGCGGTGGCTCGGCGGCCGCGGGAGGGGGCGGCGGGACAGGTGGCCAACGCCCTCCGGGAGCCCGGCGGCTCCTGCCGAGTGACCCCCACCCTGCCCTTTCCTCATAGATCCATTCAGTTTATTCCTTCCACCCTGCCCTTTTCCCCAGCCTTCCAGCCCCTGTGCGCGGGGCCGAGGCGCCGGGCCGCGCCGGAAAGTTTGGTCGGCCTGGCCGCGTCGCTGGGTGCGGGGAGCCGGGGCGGGGCGGGCAGCGGCACCCCGAGCCCCGCGGGAGGTTGGGGGAATCCCGCCGCTGGGCCACCCCGGGAAAACAAATCCACCGGAACCCTAAACAGCTGTGGCGGAGAAGCCGCCAGATGAAGCCGTGCTCGGTCCGCGCCTGTCCCATCAGAGCCGCCCGGCCGCGGGAGGCGGGTTCCCCGGTTGTGGTGAACCTGGCCCGGCTGCCATACGGATCCGGGAGGTCTCCACGGTTACCCGGGAAAGCGGCGGCGAACAGCATCTTTGCCCCGCGAGAAATACTCTCTGACCTCTTCCAAGGTTTAGTGTACCCTGGGTCTTTTATCTCTGTAGTCGGTGCCTTTCAGCCTAGTCCCCACGCTATGTTTCTTATGTATAATTTTGTTTGAGAAACGGCATGCCCTCACAGCTTTTTGTCTTGTCTTTCAGGGAGGGAGTTGCTTTCCGGTAATAGTAAAGGAACGTGAAACTGAATGAGAACGCACCAACGGCATCCTCATTAGCCGGAGCCCGACTCTGCTTAATGTTGGTTTCTTTGTCATCAGGTCTGCTAAAAAATGACAGAATATAAACTTGTTGTCGTTGGAGCTGGTGGTGTAGGCAAGAGCGCCTTGACAATACAGCTAATTCAGAATCACTTTGTGGATGAATATGACCCTACAATAGAGGTAAACAATATCAGCTTGCACTCATTTTGTGAAAAGAGGTTAACAGTTAAAATGCTGGTTCAGTACTTTTGGACAGTTACCACGAAAACATAGAACAAGGCTTTATAATAAAAAACACTCAAAGGTAATGATCAGCATCAGACCAGCACTGGAGAGGAAATTGTGCTTCTTCATTTGGTTATGGAACTATTATGTTCAATTAAAGTATGGTGTTAATTGCTGTGTTTTGTTGCACAGTTTGGATGCATGATTTTAGGATCTCTGTGGCAAAGTTTTTGACAAATTCACGTGAAAATGCTTGGTGAAACTCTTTATGGCTTTGTATGCAACCTCTTAAATGAGAAAATTTGTAGTTCTGAAATGTATGCATCAGGCTTTCGCAGCCTCTATCATTAGGATCTGTTTCACACAGTGAAAATGTGTCCTGGAATGTTATGGTGAATGAAGCAGAATTTGGAGCCTGGTTTTATTTGTTTATTTATTTATTTATTTTAAAACCACCAGTGCTTGCTTCTGTACCTAGAAAAGACATGTTATAACTACTGTAGTGGATGCTTTAAAATACATGGCGCAGTTCCTCAAAATCTGAAATTGTATTTAAGCTTTAAAAGTTGTAATATTTTAAAGGTATTTAATGAGCAGGCAAGTTCTGCCTTTTAAAGGTAAGGAAAATACTAGTGTTGCCTGAAGTCTCCTGTGGATTGTTGGATTTAATAACTTCAGACCATGTAAAAGTAGAAATGACACTGTAAGTTATACAAGAATTTTATGTTCCCAGCACTGAAGCTCTGTAGCTTATGACTTCATTTATATGTTTATACAGTGAGGCACTTCCCAAGCTCACTTGAAGAAATTACAAGGATTTAAATCTTGGCTTAAAATGGTGACTTGGAAAATGGCTCTGTAGTCATTTTCAGGTACGCACAAGCAAGAGGAGCCAGTGGCCTGAGGTGGTAGGATGTCTTACTCCAGTGAAGTACAAGCCTCTGTGCTCCAGAGACGTGTTGGCTTGCGTTTACATTAATGTGATGCTGTGTTGTGTTGTCCCTCTGTTGCATGGCCAAGTAGCCTCATATATGCTTGTAGAAGGTTAGACCTATTGAGAGAGTAGGGGTGTGTGGCTTGCCACTAGGAGGGCAGCTCTTGCAAGTAGAAAGATGTGAAGTCGTAATGACAGTCACCCAAAACACGCTCGACAAACAGAAAACACAAAACTCAAGGGAGGAAGAAGCAAAATGGGCTTTTACTTTTTCCTGCAAAAGGAACTTTGGAGGATTTGGTCTTTAATACTTGTCATAGTCATCTGGGTTTCTTTGAGGTTGGAGGTGTATTTATGCATTAGAAAAAGTACTGTGGAGGTTCTGTGTTTTGAGTTGTCATATGAAGCCAGAACTGTGTAAACAAGGAGTGCAAAACCTTAAATGTCAGAATTCCTAAATCACTTGAGGAATTTTGATAATCAACAAGCTTAATATTTTGAGGAATGCCCAATACATTTTAATGCAGACTTATAAGGTGAAAATGCAGTTCCTCATAGAAAGAACCCAAAATCCCAGAACTGTGTCTTTTACTCTGTAGTGTGCAGGATGACTGTAACACTGCGGTGTGGTCCAGAATCAGAAACCTTTAACCTAATGGGTTTTACCAGCATCCACAACTTGTTGCATGCAAAAGTATTAATCTTGTGCAACTCCTACAAGTTCTTGTCTGAGTACTAGTTAACGTTTTTGTCTTCTAAGTTCTGAGACCTTGAGGATGGAGGCTTTATCTTCCTACTTATGTGGTAAATCTCCTTGTGTGCAGTCGCAGTGCTATGATCTGGTAGGTAAGCTTGTAGGGAAGAAATAATTCAGTTGTTGTAAGAGTGATCTGTGATTTGGAGTGGCAAACGTTGCAGAGTGGGCTTATGAATTGGGCTTAAATGCTCAAATGCTTGCTTGAGCAGGATCCTGTTCAGCTGAAAAAGAGTTGGTTGATTGTGCTTCCTGTATAGATGTGGTTGGGGTGGTAGGGGCTGATCGAAGAACAATAGCTGTAGAGCAGCTTTTATGCAGTATGAGGAAATAAGGCTAAAGTTGCTTTTACTGGTAAATAACAGTTAAGACAGTTCAGTAGTTTCTCACTTACTACTGTTTCTTTCATTGCTATACAGCTGTTGCCAAAACACTTATTTTCCCTGGCAGATAAAAAATAAAGCTAAATATTTTGGAATAGATGGAGAAGATAGTTCAGTGTTTGTTATATATAATGGATCTCACAACTACACAGTTACTGAATAATTTTAAGTCTTTCCTGTGGTTAACCAAATAAAACTCAACACTTCTAAAATTCTCATGTTGTGAAGACATGATGCAGTTAGAGAGGGAAAAATATAGTTGTTGTTTGAGCATAGCAGATGATGGGGGCAGGGGGAGAAATTAAAATCAGTGTATATTTGGGTGGCTACTGTTAGTCAAATGTATAAGCTTGATATGTGTTTCAAGATTTCATATCTTACTTGAGGTAGGTGTCTAAGCATAGATTTACAGCCGTGTAATTTTTTAAGTGTTTTGTTTAACTGTGTGTACATTATGCTTGTGAATCTGTGTTTCTAATACACAGAACAGTTGGACTAGTGCCCTCTACTGGATGAGGCCTGTTAAATCTTATCACAAGCAATCACAAATAAATTTTGAATTTTTTATTATTATTATTTTTTACAGCTTCATCATGTTTTAGTGCTAAATATATGTAATATTTTAAATATTCTAGAGAAAGAACAGCTTTGCTAGTTGCCTGGCAGAGGGTTTTCAATTGGATTAGCAAAATCCCATGGCTGATTTAGGAATACTGATATTTAAGTCTGTGTTCTTAAATGACCTATGCACTTGCGAAACTTCCACCAGTATTTAGTAATAGCTTATTCTTAGTAGCTGTGATATTTTAACATAAAATCACTGGTAAAGTGGATTTTTACAAAATAATGACTACTGGCTTAGGTAGGATTTATTAAGCAGTGGGACATGTTTTAGATAAATTCCATATGTAGCATATAGCTGAGACTTCTATTGCATTTTCTTATCAGTGCTTGGGAATAGATGGAATAATCGCTCCTTTACTGTAATTCATGCTGGTTTTTAAGGCTTCTGAAAGGCCAATAAAAGCAGGTTAAATGATTAATGAAATCAAAACATTTTTATATAGTTATGCTGAGTCAGTATACTGGGGAAAAACTGCAAATTCGTATTTGGAGTCAAGTACTGCTTCTGTATTAATGCTCTAGTTTGCATTTTGGTTTTACTTAATAGCCTTATACTGGATACCTCCTCATTGCTTCTTCATGGCATTTATCACTGCAAATGTCCCAATGTGCAGTAAAGCTACTGGATTTTTATAAATTTTGAAATCTATAGATTAGAAGGCTGGTGAGGATTTTTGTTGTTGGAAGGGAGTCTGGTCATTTGAGTTCTGCAATGATGTCTTGAAGCAAAAGTGCCACAAGTACTAGAGCAGTGTCACTTTGTTACGACCTACATTCTGTTTTGCAGGACTTAGAAGTTTTACAGTATGGTAACACTTAAATAAACAAATTTTATCTTGGCTATGTTTACACTGGTTGCTTGCTATAATGGGGTTGGCAGTCCCAGTAGCCTGAGGTTTTAATGTGATGCTTCAGTTTTCTTTCCTACAGTGACAAATATGATCTCAGGTTTGATGTTTTTTAGGGGGAACAAGAGGGGGACACAAAAAAGCAAAGTGTTTATTATTTTAGTAGCTTGGAGGGAAGTAATAAGCTTGAGTTTTCTCTTCCATGTCTTGTCTTTTCCTTCCGCCTCAAATCCCCTTTCTAGTTAGTGACAAAATTTTCTCACCAGAAGTCGGCAAAATGGCCATTATCACAAAGTGCTCCTTCTTTTTGTACCTGTGCTGTGCTTTATGCTGGTACATCTTTGCTGCTGCTGCTAACATTCTAGGCATGCTAAAACTAACAGTTCTTAAAAGTGATTTTCTTCTCTAAAAGATTATTTTCTTTGAAAATTACTTAAAGCTTTTGTTTAGAGCTCAGTTGAGGGGTGTTTCTTTTCCTTTGAAGTGCTAAGATGTAAAGGAATAATACAGGCTTTTCAAGAACTGTTTTTCATATTTTTAAACTAGCAGTCAAATTGCAAGAGGAGAGAAGGAAAAGTCTGTAAATACGCTGAGTATGGTGATAGAAGCTAATACTTCACTGTGAACTGTGGTAAAGGTAACATAGGACATGGGGGATCTACTGTTGAATTTAAGTGAATAGGAAACAAAACGTGTCTTTTGTGGGTTTTGTTGTTTTTTTTTTTTTCTTGTTAAGCAATGAGAATATTAACCTTATTTTCAAACACATTGGAACTTGTTTGTCTCATCTATATCAATATTTAAACGTGGCTTACAGGTTTCTGAAGTTACCTACTTCTTGAACACTGAATTTGCACTTCTGTGAAATAAATATATCCAAAAATCATGTTGGAAGTAAACTTTTATCTTTAAGGTAAACGGTTAATATTGTTTTACCTGGTACTGTTAAATATCGTCCAGGCTGAAGATAAATGTGTGATTATAGAGTTTGTTTAGTTTAAGATACTGATTCTATACAATTGTCTTCTGCTTGCTTTTTAGTGTGAGCAACAGGAAAGAGAGCCCTTTGTAAAAATACAAATATATAGAAAGCACACAGGAGTAGGTGTACTGTGCCTTAAAATAGGTACAAAGGAAGGTCATTCTAAATATGTCTTGAAGTTGGCTAGAATTGCAACTTTAATTCTTTAATTTTCTTTACAGTAGCTTAGATTCACTTCTGTATAGTGTTAAAAAGAACAGCAGCAATATTGTGTTAATATCCAGCTAAGGGATCTGAAAGGTAATACCAAGATTTTGTCTTTATACCTTTTATTTGTTGTAAGTACTCTTTACTGAGAATAATTTACAGTACTATTTGATGACCTGTTTTCAAAGCTGTTGACATGTTTTTATTTCGACTATATAGATGTTTATAGAAGTTATTGGGGAAAATAATGGTTATGTTCCTATCACTAAAACTATGTACTCATAGCAGCCTAGAACCAAAAAGAGCTGTAAATAGACATTAAGATCTAGTTGCTTGGTGCTTTGTACAGATTTTAGCCACTTGGATCAGTTACCTGAAAGCTCTGAATTGATAGTATTGGAATAATTTGTTTCAGTATCTCTGAAGCAACCTGTCTGGGCTTTTATACAACTCTGTTTGTTGGTCTGTTGTGGCTAAAGAACTTGAACTTCAAATGTATCAACTCAACTTTGGTAACTTAATAACAAATATGACTGTATGCATCTACTTAGGCGCACAAAACTGATTTCCTATCCCAAACAGTGAAGGCTTTTTATACTCCATTTCCCTTTTAGTTGCATAGATTTTTGGAGTTGTCTTACTTGTGTATTCTTTCTGGTTTATTACTTTGGACATTGTTGCGGCACAATGCTTTTGTAGCCATCCGTAGAATGAAAGTCAAGTTTTACTTAAGAAAAAAGAATTGGCAAATTGAGTAAGCCTAAATAAAGTCAATCCTTTTAAAATCAGGATTACTGTTTTCTTTAGTTTTTCTTTTCTCTTAACAGAGACAAAGGGGAGGTGCTTTTGATCTGGATCCAAATTGTACTTTTTATCCTTCTGTGCAAAATAAGAACACTGCCCTTTTTCTGTGTGTATGCACATGAACTATTACTCACTAAAGAACTGGAATACAGAAAGATCATGGCTTTCAGTGGTCTTCCCACTTCTGGATTTTACGGTATACGTGTAAATTTGGGTCACTATTTTCCTGCTCTCATTTGACCGTCTGTAAAGTTGGATTCTAATTCTTATGTGTTTGAGTTACAGGTGTTTGAAATTTTACTTGTTTGTGTTTAACCAAGCTGTATGTGTTTTTCTTTTCTTAGGATTCCTACCGGAAGCAAGTAGTAATTGATGGAGAAACTTGTCTCTTGGATATTCTTGATACAGCAGGTCAAGAAGAATACAGTGCAATGAGGGACCAATATATGAGAACAGGGGAAGGCTTCTTGTGTGTATTTGCTATAAACAATACAAAGTCTTTTGAAGATATTCACCATTATAGGTGTGTATATTGAAAGTTAATCAAATAACTCTTGTATTAAGTGGACAGGTTGCTTGCTCTTCCACCGGATAATAGAATGGTTTCTTATGACATGGTGTCTAAGGGGAAACTTGCAAATTAGCGAATTATTTGTGGATTTGTAAGTCTGGAATTTTGGGTAATCTGAAAATCTGCTGCCTCGTTTTCAAGTTAAGCAGAAAAAACATCTGAAAGTTATTCTAGTATAAACTAATGTGACTTAGTGTTTCTGCCTATTCATAGTGAAGACTTATCTAAAGTCTGCCCATTCCACAGATAAAATTATGTGCTCTGATGGCAAAACTGATCCAATTGAAATTGTACAGACAATAATGTCAGTTGCTAGCTTTTGTTCTGGGAGTGGAGTGGAAATACTGTCGGAATGTTAAAGATTAACATGTGTGAGCCCCGATGCCTAAGAAGAGCAGACACACACAAAATCAGGGCTCCAGGATGACTGCTAAAACCAACCTGTTATTAGTTTCTTCACACTTTTATCTTAATAATTAGTTAAAAATTTCAACTCATGCTTTCATTGTCAGCTACATTAATGTAAAAAAAGAAGCAGTTTCTGGTGTTTACTGTACCAGCTCATTTATAATTCAGTAGCTTACTATTATACTGAATTCTCCTTGGGTAATGCAAGATAATGCAAATCCCACCGATGTTTGTCGAGTTTGGCAGCATCCATTTAAGATCAGTTCCAAACACATAATGCTAAGCTATTCATAGTTAGGCATTTATAATGCTGTCAGATCCATGTCACCTTATGGTGGAGGAGTGTTCTGCTATCATCATTACCCACAAATCTAACATCTACTTATAAGCCAAAGTTACACATTTTTGTTACAAATAGAAGTTACAGTTCCACATTTAAGGTGGGATACCATGGTAATTCAGGGTAATCAAAGTCAGCAGATGCAACTGCCCTGGTGGCGTAGTTTCATTTTCTCCTGTATGCCAGCAAGTCAGCTCATTTGATTGCACAGTGTGATGATGTTAAACAGGTAAAAGCCTACTTACAAAAATAGTTTATTGCTGGCTTATCTCCCTGGAACAGCTGTGAGATCAGGGGAGTACTGTTGCAAAGAGAGGGGCAAAACTGCTGCGTATTAACCCACAGAGAGATGAGTGTTATGAATGTGGGCACCTTCTTTGAGGGCTGCTTCTTTTTTATATTTAAATTGAGCTAGTCAGCTTTTGTATAAATTTCATTATATATAAAATTTTCTAACTGAATGTATTGGTACTGGTGATATTAAAAAAACAACCCCCAAAAAAACAAACACCCCCCCGCCAAAAAAAAAAAACAACCCACAACAAAACCAACCAAAAAAAACAAAACATGTAAGAGCACAGTAGGGGCGACAAATTAGAAAGATGTCTGTTGCTCTCAGAAAAACTATAACCTTGTCTTCATTATCTCACCGGATTATTACCGATGATTTCCCTCTGGTTGTAGAGGAAGAAGGGAAAAAATAAGGTAGCTGCTAATGTAAAAGGAAGGAGCACAGAGGTTTTCATGTGGAATTTTCATTTTTTAAAGTCAGTTGCTGTTTTGCATAAGAAGTCCTTCCCAGTTAATTTCAAGAATGTTGTGAGTCGAATGCTGGAGTTTCTACTGTGCATTCACACACCTGTGGATAGCCTTTCAGACTGAAGCTGAAGGCTTATGAATAAATAACCAAAACCAGCGATTATATTAATTAAGGAACATACTGCTAGATTATTTGGGAAGGCAAAAGTAATAAAATGAACGATTGTTGAGATTTTTGGCAAGTACATCTAACTAGTGTTTCAAGATGTTTTCTAACCAATGGTTGAAAGGGCTTTCTTGCCAAATCTCTCTTTGTACAAAACCAGGCTGGTGGTCTTCAAAGTTTACAAACTCTGCATTTAGACAGGGATTTTTTAATGTTATTTTTAATAATAAAACAACAACAACAAAAAAGACACACCATCCCCCCCCCACCCCCCCAACCAAAACTGAGACAACGGACATAGCGCTTTGATAAGTGTTTCATGCTGGCAAATGAATTGAGTATTCAGAGTACTGACTATGAGAGGTAACAGTAAGATTTATGTCAGAGCATCTTAGGCTTGTTCTGGCACTAGCTGTTTATAAAATGTACAGAAATTTGCAAAATAGTGTTTTTTTTTAAATAAGGTGATAAACTTGAGAGTGACAGGATTGGTCAGTTTATTTTTTGATGGCTTCTAATAATGTATGTGTAGGAAACTAACATAACGAGTGATGATGGAGTCTTTCATTGTTTTAAAATTGTTAAATACACTTATACCTGTTAAATGCAGTCTTTTTTTTTTTTTCTTTTTAGGGAACAAATAAAGAGAGTTAAAGACTCTGAAGATGTCCCAATGGTGCTAGTAGGAAACAAATGTGATTTGCCTTCCAGAACAGTAGATACAAAACAAGCTCAGGATTTAGCAAGAAGTTATGGAATTCCTTTCATTGAAACATCAGCAAAAACAAGACAGGTAAAGCTCAAAACTTACCAGAAACAAATGCAGAACTCTCATCTGAATTATTTATTTATAATTATTCTAGGCATTGACGATCGCTTTGTCATACCAATAGATATATTTCTCCAGAATAGAAATTCCTGTGTTGTGTCTTCTTTCTGTGAACTCACTGACAACTGGTACTTGTTTATTAATGAGTGATTTGCTTCAGCTGCGCAAACTTGAAGCATGAGACCTGGCCTGCCACTACTCTCCACTGTCAGACAGTTGCAGTTTTCTTAATGTTCTGATAGGTTTTAATAGAATGAAAAACAGTTGTACTGAGAGGTGAAATGCTGGTTTTTCCTCAGCAAGAGGATTAAGCAGACAAACAGCAAATTAGTTTATTTTGGTTTTAGTCTTTTCATTAATAACAAAAGGAATTTTTCTTTGAGGCATTGATTCAGTGTTAATGGGACATGCTTGATATCCCTTTTTATAACTAAGCAATTGACCATAAGTCTTTTTTGAAATGACTGGATTAATTGCTTGTGTAAACTAATACTAAGACTTTAGAGCTCCCTATTGGTTTATTGCACGCAGCCGGTACAGGTGAAAGAGGCAGCTGTTAGGGTCCTTTCAGTGCTTCTTTCTAGGTTTAGGTGCAAATCTCTGCATTCAGGAGAAGACAAGTTCTACAGATGAAACTGGTTCTGTACTTCTGAAAGACAGTGTTCTTTTTGAAAAATGCTGGTTGTGGGTTTTCTTCTAAGAGTAAAGACTTACTATTAGTACAAATTAGATCAGGCCTGAATAGCTGAATAACTTGTACTCTCCACAGTCAAATATTATGTGCAAATTATAAATCACAAATTAGTTGTAGCGGGAGGTGGCAAATAAGAGCAGAACACTGCAATTTGAGTAACAGGGCAGTGTAACTGCTAAATAGATTCAGATGCATCACTTGGCAAAATTTCCTCATATCCAAAAATAACTTGTCCTATATATAAGAAATGATATTTTATTAGTGAAAATTTGCTACACCTGCTCAAATTTCTGACAAGTTGAAACATGGACTAATAGGTAGAATTTTACAGAGGAATCAAAGGAATGCTAGCTTTTGGGAATAGAGAAAATCTCTTAGGTAGGATTAAGAAAACTAACTGCACAGCTTTAATGGCTGAGAATAAATTAGGCCACAAGAGTGTTCCAAAGAATGTAGCATATAAGTGGACTGAATAAATACAGTGTTCTTGTTTGGAAGGTCCTGTATTTGATATTTCCTGTATTGGAAGGTGGCTATCATTGAGATGTTAGGATAAAAAACGAGGAACTCTGAAATTACATTTGAGGTTTGAATCATAGAATAGTTTGGGTTTGAAGGGACCTTCAAAGCTCACCTAGTCCCAACACCCCTGCAGTGAGCAGGGACATCTTCAACTAGATCAGGTTGCCTGGAACCACATCCAGCCTGTCCTTGGAATGTCTCCAGGGATGGTGCATCCACCACCTCTCTGGGCAACCACTTCCAGTATTTTACCACCCTCACTGTAAAAAGTTCTGTACTTAAATCTAGATTTCACTCTCTTCAGCCCGTTTCACGGAGCATTAGATTTTGTTGGGGAAACATTCCCTTTGCATAGCCATTTTTTAATAAAAGTTTGATGCGATGATGTATTTTCAAAGATTTTTTTTCTCCCCAGCTCCCTTACAGTTTACTCTGACAAGCAGCCCCACCATGCCTAACCATTACTAAATCAACATGCTTAATCACCACTTCAGTTTTATAATCTTTATTTACACAAAGTAGTATCTGCTTTTTTATCTTTCAGACTTTTAAGAGATCTGCTTAAGGAGGTTTGTACTTGTTTCAGAGTATAATAGATCAGTCATATATGAGCTGTCTATAATTTGACTACTTTTATCTGAGACTTTTCTGTTGGCACCTCAGGAAATACAGTGTTACAGAAAGAATCTGACTTTTGGCTTTTGTTTTTCAAAGTTGAGCTTTATACACTTTACATTTAAGGAGTCCCTAAAAGTGTCTCATGGACTTGAAAATAAAGATGCCGAATACGCTCTTTTGAGAATGCTGGCTTCTAAAAGTTAGAACCACTAGGTATGGTTGCTGATTCTTTTCATGCCGCTGTTCATAATGTGTTATGAAACTGCTTCATAAGATGCTGGATTATTAAAATATTTTTGAGAAGACAAAAGTGAATTGGAAGAAGAACCTGATCTTTAATTACAGCAAGATCACCTGTATTTGTATGTGTGCTTGTGTATACATAAGCATTTACATTTTATGATCTTTAAGTCACACTGTCATAAAAAGATTGTGCATGTATATACACCTTCTTCCAAAGTAACCTTTTGAAGTAGGGGATTCAAACCATTTTGTGAGCTCTATGTGGCCAATAGACTATATTTCTACTGGTCAGAATTCAGTCCTTGGCTAAAAATAAATAAATAAAAATATTTGGTCCTCTCTGGTTACATTCAGAACTTCCAGGTATGAGCAGATGTACCTTGTGGTTTGGTAACTTCTGGAGTCTGTAGGTCTGACATGAATATTTAGAAGTAGGAACCTACTTATCCTTTCTTGTATGTACCTCCTACCACACTGAAACAGCAGCACCAATGCCATGTTGAAGGAGCCCCCACCATCCTTGCATTAGCCCTTCCTCAAGCCCCACTTCTGCTGGAGCTCAGATTGAATCAGAAGGTTTTCTGGGGAAGGAAATGGAAGACAAAAATAGAAAGTTGTTGCTCTTGATTGCAAAGACACTTTTATTAAATGCAAGGCATGTGCATAACTTAAACTCGTTCTTTTCATCAATGACACTTATTCTTTCATGGTACTTATGCAGAAGGATGTGATTTCTTGAAGTTTATTTTGGTAGCTGTTTTTGCTTTTTTCTGTTTAACATAAGCTTTAAATTAAAATTCTCCCCTATCCTCATGAGCATATGGCTCCCAGTATTATCAATAGTATCAATGAAAGATGAGAGGCAAACCTGATTTATCCCTGCCAAGGCTTCATCCTGTATTCCTTACTGCCTTCCATTTGCCTGCAAGTTACACAAGGACAAGCTCTAAGGCTGTATCCCAAATGTGGTTTGACTGTAGAATTTTGACTGTCCTGCTAGAACTGAATTCAAAGGCAAAGCAGATAAATAGGCATTATTGTAAGCATTGTAAAGGATACCCCAAAGCATTAGGTCTCGTTGAGAATATATACTTAAACAGACTTTAAAGTGTTTAATGAAGTTGACCTAAATAATGGGGATGCTGTTAAATAAGCATTACAGTTATTTCAGCTGTCTGATGTACAGTAGGTTAGGCCCCAAATTTGCGATGAAAGTAAGTTGAGAACCCATGCCTGGTTTGAAGTAATCAGTGCAGTATTTACAGAACAGCATTCCTACATCTCATTGAGATTCATGAATAACTGATATCTTAAGACAGTTTGCTTGAACCACCCTGCCAAGTTTTTAGAGATTGGTTGTATCTGTTTAATGATATTATTCTGTGTTTTACTCCAGGCAATTTTTAATGCGGGTCATGTGTGCAAGTTCCACTTTAAAACTTCGTTTTCAATTACTTAAAATTTTGTCAGTCTTCACAACATGAGTTGAGTTTTTCCGTGTTGCTAGTTTGTTGTAAGGTAAAACGTTTCCAAAAAATCTTAGTCCTTCCCAAGAACAAGGGCCCAAGAAAAAAAAAATTACTCCAGGATGCTCAGGAAACACGTCTGTTACATACCTGATATAAAGCTAAATAGGTGCAGCAAAAAGAGGATACATGCGCACAATGAGTTAAATTGAAGTAGGACAGCTGTAATTCTGGTACTTCTTACCTTTGGAGAGATTGACTTTAATAGTGATTTTGCGCAGTATTTAATATGAATTTACTGCTGTCCTACTGCTGTATTTAACTGCTGTCAGATGACACGATCAGCTTAACACCCCCTCACTCTCCATATTAATGGAGGTTTTGCATGTGGCTGAGTTCTAGTAACTGTTTTCAAACAGTCCTTTTAAGTATTAGATCTGTTTTAGAAACAGCAAAAAATTACCCTTAACCTATAAGCTAAATGTTGCCTGAGCTAGTAGATTTTTGCAGGTTTGTATTCTCCAGTACTGACTAAGCTGACTCTACCATTAAAAAGTTTTATGTTGGGAGTGCTTTTATGGAAGTGAATAGAAATTTTTTTGCTAACCCTAAAAGCTAAATGAATAGCTTTTTACTTTATTTGTCTAACAATTGGTTTTAAGAGACCAACTCCAACAAAGTGTGTAAAGGTGGACACAGAACACTTTTGAGATGTTAAAGCTAACTTTTCATTAGTTTCCTTTAAACACTATTTACAGGAGCAGAACATGTGAAAATTCCTGTTTGCGTTTGCAATAGTCTTTCTTTGCACATAGTCATATTTTAAATCAAATGTTTGGCTGTCTCCTAGGAGTTAAAAGCATCTTGAAAACATTGCCTCAAGGTCATGGGTTCTTGGGGCTGTTTAGATTTTGAAATTTTTAGTATCTGCCAAAGGGTATTTTTGCTTCCAGTTCTGACAGCTAATAGATCTGGTTAATTGTATATTAGAGATATGGTCCATACTAATTTAAGGAAAAAATACTGAAGAATTTTAAAAGAAATTGGTATTTAAATTACTTCTTAAGTTTGTAAGATTGGTACCTGGCTCTTTAAAATGTCACCCTAGGCTAATGACATTAGCAAATGTGTCTCTGTACAGATTTTCTTTCAGAATACCTTATTTCATAAGGGGATCCATAAGGCTATTCTTGGTGGTGGCAGTGGTAGCAATTTCTTTTCTGTGTCTCTCCCTCTCTCTGCATTGCTAAAGCAAACTACATTTCAATGGTGATGGGAAAGCTGGCAACAAACATTGATGGAAGAATTATTATCTAATTATTTATGTGAAAGCTCTGTAATCAAATTATGTATTTCTACTGCAAAACAGTAGATTTACAAAAATGTTGATTCGTGTACAGCCTGTGCTTTGGCACATAGCACCTTATCAGTGTCTACTGTTTCCTCCTTCCAGGAAAACATGAAAATAATGAGCTTTACTTGGATTTTGCTGGGGTTTTTAAATAGTTTTTTTCACATTTTGCAAACTCTCAGACCTGTAATGTAAGACTGATTGTCTTGTCCATACTTCACTACATCCTAACAGGACACATCATTCATAACAAAGAAATACAGTCCAAGAAATAAATCTAATTAATCTTGAAATTCAAGTGGCTGTAGTTCAGAAGAGCAGATAAGCAGCAGCATTCTTAAGAATGAGTCTTCAACATGATAACCTATGGCACAGTTCATGCAAAATGACCCAACAACTGTGGCAGTAAATGTTACCTATTACTGTTAGGTGCATAAGATAAAGACGGGTTGGAAAGATAAAGTATGGAAAATCTGCCAAACAAAAGCCCAGATTGTGCATTGGGTGGTAATAAAGTTTGGGGGCTTAAATGATTGTACTGTTTTCTACAGTCATCAGTCTGTTCTGGTTTTATTTTCAAATAATGAGTTTGTATTAAATTAACAGCCCTGTTGATCTGGCTGAGGAGACAATAAGCTTGACAGTAAGGCAGATTTCCTCTCTCCTTTAAAAACTGCAGCTAAATGTATTGTATCTTGTTAGAAGAACATCCCCCCAGATTTGTCTAAATTTTTAAGTTAATACAAATATAGTCAATTTAAAATAAAATAATTTAAAGCTGGTTCTGTACCTCTTCTCTTTGCTTAAACTTCAGTCTTCGTATTTTTTTGAATGCTTATGGATCATCATATACAGGTGGCCTAAGCGCAGAGCTGCAGAAAGGTAATGTGTGAGACCAGAGAAGGAAAACACATAGCTCTCTGTCATACATGGAGTACTTGAGCTCTCCTCATCCAGAGAAAAAATGTGAGCAGGAGAACTTCACAGGCTGTTTGCACTTAGTTCTTATTATGGTACCCTCTTGGTTGCCTGAGGTGAGCCCAGAAAGAACAGATTAGGTGTTCCTTGAATGTTGATGTGACCCAGGCTCTTAAATGTGATAATAACTATTGCTTTTTCTGCATGGAAGAATAACATCCATAGTTATAAGAAGAATTAGTTTTGAAAGTTACCCTGAAATAGAATATACTTTAGGTACTTCTTAAAAGCACTTTGCCATAACGCAAATATCCTTTTTCCTAAGTTTAATAACATAAACAGCTTTAAAAACAATATTGCCTAAAATTTAGTATTCTCAGATTTTATTTCTTTGTAACCTCTTAGGAAATTGCCTGGTTAGACTTCTTTTATACTGTTAGTTTCTTCACAGATTTTTTTGCAAAGAAAGTACACCCTGCATAAAGAACAGAACATAAATGAGCTTACTTTCTTTGCCTGCCCAAACAGTAATAGGTTCTCACTTTTGCCTACGAAGTGAAAATAGGTGGTTAACTGTGTGTGTTTATAAGTAACCCCCAGTTAACAATCTAACAGGGTTTTGTGCTGCTAAATACATCCATGCCCACAAAAATGTGTGAAAAGATTTCAGTGCAGTGGAATTATGCAATGGAAGAACATAATCCTCACTCTTTTTTGTCCAAGTGTTACCTTGCACAAAAAATAGGAGGGCTTGAAGCATAGATATTCACAGAAATTGGTAATCAGGAAATTCTTTGAGTGTTTCTCTTTTGCTTGCATTAAAAAAAATTATCAAGCAGCAAATGTGCAAGCCCACCATTTTAAATGTTTAAATGGGATCCATATACTTCTTTCAAGTAAAGCTCATAATTTCAGTGTTTTTGTGTTTTTTCTTCCTCTGTGCCATGGGTGTCCCAGTATCTCATGATTGTTAATGAAGCAGTTTTTAAGGAGTTGTGTTTTACAATGCAGAGAGTGGAGGATGCTTTTTATACATTGGTACGAGAGATTCGGCAGTACAGAATGAAAAAAGTCAGCAAAGAAGAAAAGACTCCAGGGTGCGTGAAAATTAAAAAATGCCTTATAATGTAACAGGGTAAGTTTTGTAATGTAACAGGGTAGGTTTTACAAATCACTTGCCAAATAAAAATGATCAACGGTGTCTTGCAAATCAGACATTTTATGGTTAATCAATTACATAAATTAAGATCTAAAGCCAATCAGATTTCAGTATTGTAGTCCTGAATAATATTCCTAGCAAACACCCAAGTACAGATTTGCTTTGTTTCATGGGGTTTTGATAAATAGATGAAGAAGTCTTTACTGCATATTAAGTTCTCCATCTGTGAAACAGAGACCAAGTTTTGATTGTGAAGAGGTTTAATGTTTCATTATAGATATATTGCAGAGACTGTTGAAGTGAATATTGATTGAATCTTCAAGTTGATGAACTGAGGGGAGAAGGTAATAATATTTACAGTCCTCAGATGCAGAAACAGGAGGTTCCTAATCCAGCACAGCAGTATTTGGCTAGCAGCTGGCATACAGGATTTCTTAATTCTCGGGCTCTTCCTTATGCCATGCTGTTTCTAAAAAAATTTACCATTTCCAGAAATACAGCAGCAAAGCAAAAGTGGATTAAAATCGGGAGGAAAAGGAGTAATGGAAAAAAAACAACAAAAAACCTAACAAAAAAGCACCAAAACCCCAAAATTCTCAAAAAATAATTTTTTATCCATATACTCCACTGTAAGAAAAAAGGGAGGAGAAGGAGAAAGTACAAGTTGTGATATGGAAGAAGTGCTACTCTTAAATCCCTTCCAGTGCCTTGTGAATAAACCATCAGAATAGCTCTTTGCATATATTATTGCCCCATTATTTCTTTGCCTCTTACTGTACCAGTGCAGTGAGTGGGTTGTTGCTTCTTATATACTTGTCCAGTAAGAGGATGATCTGGAATTTCCCATTCCCAGTAAAAGACAAAACATTTTCCAGGAGAGGGAGGAGAAATTTTGTTTCATATCGGTTTCTACTAGATCTGATCAGGCTTATATTCTCAGCTTTTAACTGATTAGAGAATTACTCCTCCAAAGTAATTCTTTAGATGTTTCCTTAAAAACATACAATTTGTGATACTTCTGTATCAAAGTTTCCTTTGCAGGAAACTGGAAGGTTTAGTTACCAGCCTCTCCAGCCTTGAGTCTAAATATCAGTAAGATTTATACCATCAAAATACCTTGTTTTATTCTTTCCTAGCTGGCAAAAAGACAACTAACAGCAGCTTGGCAAGATTACTTTTGATGAGAGCAATATGAATTAAATTGCTAAAGCCTGCCTGCTGAAAACCAACTTTGCCATTTCTTGCTGTCTTACTAATGTAGTCAAATCTCAAAATAGAATTTCTTTTTGTGTACTGAGACTTTAAAGATCCTGAATCTGTCTGCTTTTCCTCTTTGTGGACTTCCTTGGGAGAACAGGATGGTGGGAATTGTGGTTTTCATTTTTTTTTTTTTTCAGTGAAAGCATCTTTTCAGATTTTAAGGTTTGTTTTTTTTTTATTTTGATAGCTCAGTGAATATGTGCTTTCTTTCTATCAGATTCTTTTTCTTTCTGCCTGTGTCCAAGAGAAGTATGTTTTTGAGGTTTTGGGTGATTGTTGTTTTTTCCCCAAATGGGGGAAAATTTTTTTATCAACAGTGGGTATTGTTGGGGTTTGATTTGTTTTTTTTCTCCCTACCTTATTTAGAAAATAGTCTTGGATATGAAAGTGTAGAACTCCAAGAGCCTGCTCAGGGGAGGAAGCATTTGTTTTTATACTCAAGTGAATTCTAGGTAGTGTTGGTAGTATTTTCAGCAACTTTGTATTTAAGAGGCTGAGATGGAGAAAGCATACTCCAAAATTATTGTGGTATAGCTGTAGTTCTGTAGTGTTTCTAGTGGAATAAGAAATCTGGCATTTAAAACAGACTGGCTCGTATTACTTTCAGTAAGAAGTCGTTTTACTTTGGTCTGATGCATAGTAGATAGCTAAAGGGAACAGCACTTAATGATGTGTGTCTTTCAGCTGGGACTTTAGACTTCAAAAATACTCATTATAGCACTTTGCAATAATAGAAAGCATTTATTTTCCTTTCTTGCTCTGGATAATCAAATTGGATGGCTCACAGTGTTTTGCTGTCTCTTGGAATATTCACTTTATCCTCTTGCTGCTTACGGGATGCCTTCGTAGTTACATTAATCTTGTACAAGGTAACTGCAAACTTTGACTACCCAGATTACCATTAACTGCTGATGCTTTCCAAGAGATTCATTCCTTTGGCTGTTACACAGTAAAGAAGAAAGCCCAGAACATCTTCTGTTTGTAATTTCTAACTAGCTAGAAGAAACTCCTAAAAGTCAGTGTAAAATCTTCAAAAGATCTCTTTCTTGAAAGTGTTAAGGTTTTTACATAGAAATTTTACTATAACTAAAATACCTCTAGGGCATAAGTTAGACATCTAGATAATGTAATTCTGACAGAGCTGGGTTAATAGTAAAAAGTTTGAATTACTGAAGTTTTAGATTTGAACGTAAAAGTTTCTAGATTCTTTATTAAAACTCTAATGTTTTTTTCCATAGTACTAGAGGTATACAAATAATTTGCTCATGACTGATACCTGTCTATGTGTATATGTTTTGTATATTTAAAGAAAAATATAAAACTGACTCTTATCTACAATTTATAACTTGTTTAAGGGTCTATATATGTCTAGTGGAAGGTTTCCCTGGCCATGGCAGGGGTTGGAAGTAGATGATCTTTAAGGTCCCTTCCAAACCAGACCATTCTGTGATTCTGTTTCTGGGGCTGGGGTGTTAAGGAACTCCTAATTCCTAAATGAATTTAAGGTTTCTTATTGATAGCCGGGTTAATTGCCAAGTCTAATGCATGCTTGTAACCATGCAACCAGATACCCAGATTTCTATATGGTTATGGGACCATGTGGTGCTCCAAAGGAAAGTTGTAGCCAGGAGCAGGCTGTTTCTGTGGGAACAGTTCTGATACATCTGTTCCTGTTACCTTTTGTAGTTGCCCTTTGGAAAAACAAATGTCAGGAGCAAGCTCTGTCAATGCACCTTTATGGAGGCAGTGTGGTATAGTTCTAAGCGTGCACGGTGAATTTTGAGTTTCTAATCCTGAGCCTGGATTTAAAGCACCCATTCAGTACATCTTACACTTTCCAAAAGGCTTGCACACAATAACTACTGTTAGAGGGAGGAAGGTTAGCTGCATGCAGTCCCTTATTACTGAAAGAAGTAACTAGGAAGGTTCACCACCTTTGATCTTACAGTACTGATGCCTTTAGGGACCTTTTGTAAACACCATATCCACCACTTACATCTAACATATAATGGACAGACTTAAAAGTGAAAGATCTTACTTTATCTGGAGTTCTCCAGTTCTAATTCACAAGTATTCTAAATGTAGTTTTGAATGTCATGTTATATTCATGACCGGAATTTGTGAGGAATTATGGCAGGACCAAACTACTGAATACATAATTAATAATTTTAAAGGCTTGATCTTCAAAGGTGTAAATGCAAGGACAAAAGCTAGATCAATTCCCTCATAATTTGCAACACACTTTGTATTTAATAGATCATCACCTTACTGTGTGGAATAAAGATTTCAGCCTTAATTGTGAATTCCTGTATTTAAAGGCCTGTAATAGTCTCTGGATATTACTTCGTACAAGTTATTTTCTCTGTAGTGAGGGTTGCTCATTTGAAGACTGAAATGGCAATTTTTGTTTAGCATGTCTCATTCGAAGACGCCCCTGAAAGCCAACAACCGTCCTCATAATGAGAATTTTTCCAACATGTTAAAGACCAGTGTGAAATACTGAAAGGTAGTTTTGTAGGGAAATGTGAACAGTCTTGTAGAAGAATACTGTGCAGAGATTTTTCTTATTCTGTTCTTGTGATCTAATAATGCAACTTCTGTCTGTTGTGATTGATTCTTAATACTGTCCTTATAGCTGAGATTAGAACTGCAGGAGATGCACTTTGAATCATCACTACTTCTAGATCATTTCCCCACATGAGCATTGCTGAATATTCACTTGGTGCATTAATGCTGAAGTTATACACAAAATACACTAGCTGTCTGTAAAACTGTATCAAGCATTTCTAATTCTCTGAAGATTCATGAGGGACATGACCTTTTCCAGAACCGAGGCTACTCTTCCATTAGGCATGCTACGTCAATTTTATAGTGATCAATAATATTTTAAAATGTAGAAGAAACTATTCGCAAGTGGTTTTTGTATCTTGCAAGACCTTGCAAAAGTGCTATTAGTGTTGGGAGATGTTCGATCAAAGCTGTTTGCAGTCCATCAGTTATGTGTAAATGTTTTATGAACTTGAATGTGAAGGTTTTAAATAAATGGAGGTTATACTGGGAGCACTGCTTTAATAGCAAAACTACTTAATACCTCACTGTTTGGACTTTCCGTATTAAATTTCATCACCATTTGGAGTTTCACTGAAAGTAATGAATTAGGTGATTTTTGGCTTTTTGTTGTGCTTTTTCAGAGTTCTCTTTCAGTTTTTTATTGAAGTGGGCACACAGGGGTAAACAGAGTCTTAATTTTTGTTGGCAGCTTGAAGGTAATCTCTGTAGCTGACAAGAGGTGAGAAGCTGCCCGTCAGTTGTAGGGCTAAATTGCTAGACCCAGTTCCACAGTGATGCAGTTGTCTGCTGATTCATTAACATCATGCTACTATTTTTGATCTATCTAAAAGATAATACAAGGAGTAAGGCAGTGAAGAATCAAGATAATTTTTTATTTTAATGACTTCGTAACTGTCCATACTAAGAATATTAAATGTAAAGGTTAACTGACAATGTGGGTACTTGATTGGAATTTGGAACAGCCTGAAAGCTAAGCAATAAACTGGTTCATGTAAATAAGTTGTTACAAAGCATAACATGTAACATTGTACTTTGATAATGGTTCATATCAGGCTTTTAGATACACTGCTCTTTTTGACCAGACTTATTTTTGTCAGCTATAATTACTCCACGAAAAAGAAAAACTACTCAACTGGAAACATTAGCTTTTGTGGCTGTTAGATGTCTGTTGTGCCTGTTGGAGCCTTGGAGATTTTAAGTGACTGTACATGATATGCCACCATAGATAATGTGTTCTGCATGTATTCTAAGTTGAATAGAATGATTTATCAAATAATAATTTTCATTGGAACATTGGACTGATTTGACTGATTTGCATAAGTAATGATTTATAAAACTGTGCCTGAGAAATTACCTGAATATGGATACTAATCATAACTATGTCTTTGTTACTGAATTCTTGCTACAGATATTTGTATTTACTTTTTAAAGCTGCCTGTAGATTGTTAAGGCATAAACAAAGATAGATGATGCTTCACAACATTATTCTGTGGTAGTATGATTTAGATTATCTGTATGATTATACATACATATAATCTAAACACGTGGTACCTGTACTTTTTTAGTTTGAGGTGAGACAACATGTGCCCTCTGAGATGGCGTACACTAAATTCAGTTCCTTACCATAATAATAATGGAATTGGACCTATGTGGTGTCTGCGGTCAGCCCCCGAGCAGTACATCACCCATAGGGTGCTGTAAATCCAGGCTGGGGAACAGCTGAGAAAGAGGGCAGGCAGGTGTTGGCTGTTGCAGGCATCAACACAGTTCATTCAGGTTCTTGTTTCAGTGCTGCTCACAACTGGGGAGAGGAGCAGCCTGTGGCTAGGATTCATTGCTCAAATGATGGCAGCCCACTCCCCACCACTGCTCTCCTGCAGGTCCCTCTGCCCATGCGTAGCAATGCAGTCAGACTCCCCTTACGTGACAGGAGACAACTACAGTTGTCCTTCCACCAGATTGTGTTTCCCCCAGCATGTCCCTTCCCATGAAGCAGGAATGCGGGAGAGGACTGTTGCCCTGGCAATTTCTGTAACCCACAGTCTCCTCAAGGGAACATTAATGAAAGCCTCAGAAAGAAGACAGTGTAACCTCTCCTGGCCGGCAGCATAGTAGATTGAATGGTTCACCTCATCAGGTCAGGTGAAAACAGGCTTTACCTAAGCAGATACAGTGTCAGTCTGTTAATGTGATCTTAATGCGTGCATGTATGTGTCTTTTCAGGGTGTTGATGATGCCTTCTATACATTAGTTCGAGAAATCAGAAAACACAAAGAGAAGATGAGCAAAGATGGTAAAAAGAAGAAAAAGAAGACAAAGACAAAGTGTATAATTATGTAAATACAGTTTATCCTTATTCTTAAGAAGTACTTAAGTAATTTTTGTACATTACACTAAATTATTAGCATTTGGTTTAGCATTACTTTACTTTCTGCTTCATGATCCTGTTAGCTTTACCTGAATGCTTGTTTTAAATGACAGTGGAAACTTCATTCCTCTTAAAGTGCCAGTATTCTTTGACTGTTGGTTCTTGAACTAGCAATGCCTGTGAAACAAAAAAAAAAAACAAAAACAAAAAAAAACCACACAAAAACCTGAGAACTGTCTTGGGACTCTTCGGTGCATGCACAGTTGCTAACTTCTTATTTTTCTTACTGATTGTGAACTTCTGTTCTGTGTGCAAACCAAACAATGAAATGATGCTCTACACATTCTGACATCCCCTTTAGTTTTTTTGGCATTTAAATCTGGTTGGGAAAAAGGACTAGCTAGCAAAAGAGACTTTTCATTTCAGCCTTTTATTTTAGACTGACTGCAATATAGAGAGACCAGAAGCCTTTATAGTCTTCCTGTAGATTTTGCTTCTAGGCATCTAGTCTTGTAGCATTTCAGATCAACTTTAATGAATGTAAAGATAAAACTTTCACAAAAAAAAAAGTTTTTCACTGCAATTTGTCTCGGTCGCTCCGTAAATACTCTATTTTTTCTATAAAAAAAAGAAAAAATTAAAAAAAGACAACAATGCACATCTGGCAGTGGAAAAAGTAAAAGTTTGAATTAGGTTGATTTGATATTATTAATGCATTGCTTTAAGACTTTCACTAACTTTTTGTGTCTGAAGACCAAGGTGAAATCCTAGCTCTCCTGCATGACAAATCTGTAAGTAGCTTTGTTCAGTAGGTACAGGATTTCACCCTTAGCGTGTCTAGAAAATACTAGAAAGCCTTAACAGATAAGTTGATTCAAATTCTTAGGTTAATTCATACGTGGATTCAGAATTTACCATAAGAATTAAATCAGAATGAATCCTAAATTATATAGGGAAGTAAAACCATACCTCCCCCCCCCCCCCCCCCCAAGAATGGCACTGAATATTTTCAGATGCCCGTTTTGTGCAAAAATAGGGGAGGAATTTTAAATTCTGGTGACATCAAATGAGTGAATGAATGAGTTGAATTTAGCTGCTCATGCAAGTAATTTGGAAATCCACTATGCCATAAAAATGGTGTGGAATTTGCACAAACCGTCTGCATAAAACATGGTTTCCAGTGTCAGTGTTGTTTGTGTACTGTTTGTGAAGTACTTGTTTTGTTGCACAGAATAAATGGTTGGTGAGTGGCATTCCAGTGTCTAGACTATCATGAAGCTAGACCAAGATTTTAACATTGTCTCTCTCTGTGATTTAAGTTCTCTTGTGATCACTCCCCCCCTTTTCTTTCTCTGATTGGAATTAATGCAGAATTTTTGCAGAAGCTTTCAGTTTAGTCTAGGTATTCTGCACTGAAGTAACAGCCAGTAGTAATTCCAGTGTTGCCAGCTCCTGTTGTCATACTGTGTGTAAACGTTGCATTGTTTGGTTGGTTGTTAGGGCCTGGGTTCCTGAAGGTATGCTTCTTCATAGTATCTAACTCAGCTGCAGGGTGAAACTTGAAAATGTGATTCTGGTGTACCCAGAAAAGTGAAACACAAGACATTGAAGTAGGATAGTTCAGGACACTGGAAAGTTTGGAGCAGGGAAGAGCAGCATTGCCCTAACCTCGAAGTATACCTAAAGAATTCTGTGGAAATCTTACACAGTACAGTTTTCTTGTACCTGCGTAACTTGGACCATTTATAGGATGTCAAAGGTGCAATTGCATGAGGAAAGTAGTATTCTGCTTCTAAAATACCATCCCCCCACACCTCGAAAATCTTGTAGGTGGAGGGCTGCAAAACAGGCAGGACTGCTGCCTGTCTGGATTGCTGCAGCATGTCTGGATTGCTGCATGTTAATTTCAATGTGGCTGAGAAAAATAATCCCCTGCACCTCCCCATTCCCCATCCTCCACCAAACCCCAGGCTCCCTCTCCTCCTTTCAGCTTTGATGAGAAATATAGATTATTAAATATTCTGAAAAACAGTAACAGGAGAACCTAACATTATAACATAAGGACCAATAAGGAATGAGAAAAGATTCTTAATGTTGCAAAACATTTTATAGCTTCCAAGGTTAAAACATTACGGAGACAGTTAGTTACTTGCACATTTTAGACACTCTTGATTATATATGAAGAAAATAGCAAAAGTGGGTAGTATACCTTGAGTAAGGGGAAGTAATCTTAAGTTTACTTCAAGATTTTTGGTAACTGAGTCACACTGCATGTAAAATTAGGGCTGGTCTAAGATTCTTAGTTAACTAAAAACTGGAGAAATTTTAGCTGAAAAGTCTTAATCATCAAATGTGGATTTATATAGCTCTGATATAAAGCTATATATATAATAGTTTTGTGCTGGGTTTTTTTAGTAAATATGATCTGTAGCTACCAATCTAATTAAATCAGTACAAACCCTGTTTAGATTAGCCCTTATTTACTTCAAAAAATACACATCCTTGCCACTGTTGTGCAGTTTTGTCTTAATATTTTTGAGATTTGGTGAAGCATGTTGGATTGCAGCTTGCACAAGTCAATCTCATAATTATCCTGTCTTTCCCTATTTGAAATGCTTTCACAGAACATACCTGGGTGCTGTATGTTCTGATAGCAGCTACTAAACGAACATGTGAATTGCTTACCACGTTAATAGATTAAAATTGCCATGTGTCAGGGAGTAACACCTTCTTACAGTAGCTTTATGTAACTCTGGTAAACAACTTTCTCATCAGTTTTTCTCAAAACTGAAATGTCATTATTTTGATTAGTCTCATTGCCCTAAAATGTTTCCTAACTTAAAATTTCACCATATAGATTTCGTTACAGTAGCATGATCTCTGTAATGGGTAAATACTGACACACAATCTTCTGCTCCTATCTACGCTCTGAAGCAATACAATTACCTTCGAAGACCATCAGACTGTAAACAAATCATTTTGTCTCAAGTTTACATAAAGCTACATAGATGGTAAATATTTCCTAACATTTCTTTCTTCCACTGTCTTGTGTTTTCATGTTGAAAATACTTCTGCTTTTTCCTCTTGAGTGCCAACTTCTTACTAGAATGACTTCTTAATGTAATATGTTTACCTGGAATGTATTTTAACTATTTTTGTATAGTGTAAACTGAAACATGCACATTTTGTACATTGTGCTTTATTTGATGTGGAACATATGCAGTGTGATCCAGTTTTTCCATCATTTGGTTGTGTGACCTAGGAATGTTGGTCATACCAGATGTTAAGTTAAAAAAAAAGGAAAAAAGAAAAAAAAAAAGACCACTGTTTGTTTTAAAATTTTTAATGTTTTTAGGAGTATGTGCTGTGAGGTGATCTGGAATTTGTCATTTTTTTGTCAAACTGTACTGCTCCTATTTATTGTAATGTAATAAAAAATAGTTATTGTGAATTTCTGTCCCAATTTCCTTTTTCTCTCCAAGAACTTTAGTGCCTCACCTTGGTAATGGAGTACCCTCTCTACTGCCTGTGTTTGGCAGTTCAGTTCTGTTTACTTCTCATCCTTCCCACTGCCTGTCACGAAGTGCTTTATTGTGGCAGTCCATCTCCTCTGATGCATACTGCTGCTGCATTCTGTGCTCTGCAAGGAGCAGAGCCTTGCTTTGGGTGAGGATGCACCTCTCACTGCTGTGTGCTGCTCGGGCTGTACAATCTACAGCCATGCCCCAGAGCCCTTATTTCATTAGTCTAACAGCAGACTTGAATTAGTCTACAAGTTTAAAATACTCTCATTAGCTATTCTGTGTTTATTCGCAGGTGCACATTTGTTTTCTTCTATCAGATGCCTTCCATAACCTCACAGAAAACACGAACAACGTATTTTAGTACTGGTTGTGTCCTAGGTGGGGAAAAAAGCCTGAAACTGCTGCTGCTTCATAAAGTTATGATTTGGCCCTTTGTTATGTGGATCATCTTCTATCAGTTACCGAGAGGGGGGTTAAATTTTTTACATAGAGGTATTCATTCAGATTCATGCAGGTTTAACTGAAACATACTGCAGAATTCAACTGATGTGGAAGGGCTCCTCTTCACATCAATGTGGTGCTAGTAACGGCACACACACTTCCTCAGAAGGTAGCGTACTAACTGGCCAGTGTTTTTCTTCATTCTATTCTAGCGTTCATACATGTGAAGACTTGCTATTGCCAACAGTTCAACTGCAGCGATGACTTACCTATATTCCAAAGATTATTTCTGTTCTCTTTCCAGTGTCACTTAGTTCTTGTTGGGGGTAGAAACACCATCCAATCCTAGTACACACATAGTTCTGGCACAGGTCTGTGCTAGTTGAGCTAGTCAATGGCATTAGCTGTGGAACAAACATCCACGGTCAAACTTCTGTCCCAGGAGGGGAAAGGATAAAGTTCTGTATTGCTGCTACAGCAATTACGCAGTGCCAGGAATCAGCAGTAGCAGGAACTGTCTTCAGGATCAAAGTGCTTAAACCACTCCTGTCCAAATTCACCCCCTTGCTGACTCCGCAGTCTTCTGCCCAGCACAGTGGGTGAGCGCCTCTGCCAGCGTGAGCCTCACACAGGAGGCAGATGTAGTTGAAAATCTTTAAAGACGCTACTTAAAGGGAAGCGAAGGCCTAATTTGTATTTCACATCGGTCAGAAGGATTAATGTTTCATTTGGTTTTAGGTTACAGCTTTTATTGTTCATTTTTTAAGGCTCTGTATCATTACATGGAAGTCATTAGCACCAGTTACTGATCATCATCACTGTAGTAGCGCTGTTTCAGAGCTCTGTATTTTCTGAGGAAGTACAAAGCTTCCAGCTCTTTTATAACAAATTCTCCTCGTGCAATCAGCTGCTTGATCTTCTCTGGATCTTTCTCATCTTTATTTTTTAGAAAAGCTGCTTTCAAACGCTTTCTGAAGTAGTCTGCTCCTTTGGGATACTCCCTTCCGAGGTACAGCAGCTTGAGGGAAGAAAAAAGAAAGATTTTATTGGGCAGTGAAAGGGGTTTGTCTGGTTAAGGAAGGTGCTCGTGGTGTTTAAGACACTTACGTTTTTGTATAGATTTCTCACTTCACTTCTTAAATTGGCCATTCTCACATTTCACTGACCTCTTTAGTTGCGTCTGACTGGGGCTTTTAACCTGAAGAATAATCAGTTTGACATTAGCCTTGCAGGTAGCAAGCACGTCCCAGCCTCCTGCTCCACGGGCACAGCACGGGCTCTAACCATGCTCCGTCATCCAGCTGAGCCCCCTTTGCTCAAACGCTGATACTTTCTGGTTCTCTCTCTTTCTTCTGCTTTTGGTTAATTTTTGTTTCTTTCAGCTTCTCCCCCCCCTTTCTGCCTGCCCTCCTCTCAAACAGAAAACAGCAAAATTCCAACAGCTTTCAGCTGCAGTCACACTTATCTGTGCTGCTTGTCTCCTGCTCGCTTACGGGCTTTCTACCTAGCTGGCAGCTTCTTTATCTGCGATCCGCTAAAGCAATACTCACAGCTGTACATATACATACAGGGAGATACATATATATGTATAAATTAGGAATTCCGACGCGTCAGAAACGCAATAAACCCCTTTTTATTTCTGTAAACAGCAGCACACGGAACGCAGCGCGGGTTCCGCGGGGGCCCATGCCCATGCCCGTGACCCTGCCCTGTGTTCCCCCCGGACACACACAGACACGGAGAAAGCGCCCTGGCCCGCCGGCAGGACGAGAAGGTCAGCGCCTCACCCGCTTCACGCCGCGCCCTCAGCCCCGCCAGCGCCGCTTTACGGCAAAGCCGTAACGGAGGGAGGCACCGCCCTTCTCCCGGCGGTGGGAGGAAGGACGCACGCCACTGGGAATCACGTGGGAGGCGGGGCTGGTCGCCTAGGCAACGCGGCGGTAACGGCGGCGCTATGGTGAGAGAGGTCTGAGGTGTGGGTCTCAGCGCTTGTACCTTGTCCGTGTCCCAGGGCCCCTGTCTCAGAGGGCCGGGGGTGCTGCCGCCAGGCCCCGGGGACAGAGCTGCCGGCGCTGGCCGTGACAAAGCGGTGTGCTGGGGAAGGCCGCGGAGCTGCACCTGCTCCTTCAGCTGCTGCTGTGGGCAGTAGCAGGCTCTGCCCGTGCGGTGGGCCCGGGGCGTGCCGGTGCAGCCACAGGGCTCTGGGCTCCTGTGGATAAAGAGGGAAGGACGGTAACTGGTACCTTGAGGCACTGGTTAGGTCGGGGAGTGGGTAAGGGTGGACGGAGGTGTGCCATGTTGGCTGCTGAAGTACCGCTATATGGAAAAAAAAAAGATTTTAACACTGAAAACGAATCACGTGAAGGGCATGTTAACTTTCCTGCAACCTTCCTTGTGCTGTGGTTTGATGCTGTGGCTGCTTAGTGTGAAGCGCGGCCCGGAAGCAACCTACACCTTAGTGATCAGAATCGCTCTACACTAACAAACTTCAAGTTTCTTTTCTCCACCCCACAGGGAGTGGATTCATGTGAGTAATGAATCACACTGAGGTTGTGTAATATTACATGGCAATGCACAGAAAGTGTAATTCGTAAATCAAGTAAGAGATTGACTGTTGGGTGTTTGGGTTTCTAGGGTCTGTCATTTCCTGTTGTCATTTGGAGAAGTCCCCTAATTACATTTTTTCAAATGCAGTTTTCCTATGAATGACAAAAACCTCAGTGGGTTTCTGTGTCCTTCTAGGTCATTGCATGATGTAATATAGCGTTACTAGGAATAGCACATGGTATAAATTGATGAGTTCAGAAAACACTGAAAACTTTTTTTGAGTGAATTATGTCTTGGGCTATATTATATGTTTGATATACATTTATTATTTTTTTTAATCAGTGGGAACAAGTAGATACACTTCTATAACTATAAATGTGACCTATGCTGGTAAATTATGAGTCATGTGTTAGTGATTAATTTTCTGCAATATCAAAATTATTGTCATTACAGTTTTTCAGTAGTTCATCTAATTTTACAGAACAGTTGTATTTGCTTATTATTCCTTTGTACTCGATATCGTGTTCTCTGATATTCACCTTTTTTTTTTTTCTCCCCTGATCTTCCTTAGGCTCCAAAAAAGAAAACAAAGGTAAGTAGTCAGAAATGCACTCTAGCTCACATACAGCATTTTGACCCTAGCAGTGTTCATTTAGAGAGTGTGCCAGCACAATCCTGTTATTTTGGAAATTATATGAGTAAAATGACAAAGCACTTCATGCTAAAATCAAAGTAAGCACCAGTTACTTCTGGCCTTAATGTCTACAAAACAGTATTTTTCAGAGGATCTGCCATAATAAAGGTGTTGTGATACCTTGATATTATGCAAATGTACTTTTTAAAAAGAAAAAAATATATTTTTTGTTTACTTTTATTTTTTAATCTGTATTTCTTCTGAGCCTGTTGCTCAGGCCCAGTCTGGAGCATCTCTCTTATAAGTGGAGACTGTGGAAACTGGACCTGTTTAGCCTAGAGAAGAGCAGACTGAGAGGCGCTTTCATTAATGCAGATCAGTATCTCAAAGGTGGGTGCCAGGAGGATGGTGCCATGCTCTTTTCAGTGGTGCCCAGCAATAGAACAAAGGGCAATGGCCATACACTGAAACACAAGTTTCACATCAACATGGGGAAGAAATTCCTTAAGCAGAGGGTGGCAGAGCACTGAACAGGCTGCCCAGGGAGTTGTGGAATCTCCCTCTCTGGAGACATTCAAAACCTGCCTGGACACTTTCCTGTGCAACCTGCTCTTGATGGCCCTACATTGGCAGGGAGTTGGACTGGAAGATCTCCAGAGGTCACTTCCAACCCTAATGATCCTGTGATTCTGTGAAATTTGGAAGAGGAACAGGCATCTCCAGGACACTAAGGATATGTGCCTTTTGCTAGGAGGCTGAGTACTGTTCCTGCCAACCTACCAGAGAAGAGGTGGTGAGCGCAGCCTCTTGAGTGTTTTGCTTGGCAGCTGCTGCCCAGGCAAAGAGCCAGTGTCCTGGCTTTGTGCCACAAACTGAACACAGAACATGATAGGCAAGGAGGACAACAGACAGAACTCCACAGGAAACTGTACTGCGTAAATTCATGCTGTCAATTATTGTTAATTTGGTAATAACAAAATTATCCACCCCTCCCCCCAGAATAGATCCTATTCAAATGTAGCCCTTTAGAACTGTGCATCTCACTTTTGTTAGCCCTATGTAAAATTGTAAGAATGTGAAAAGAAGCTGACTAAAAAGTGATTATGAGCAATTGAAACAAACAGGTTTTCCATTTACACTGAAAAAAAAAAGTAATACAAAATTATTATTTTGAACTGGAACTGATTGTTCCCTGAAATATTAATGAGTAGAATTGTAGGGTTTACTGACTTTCTTCTAGGAGAATTTTGCAAATAAATGCTTTGGTAACAAAAGTGCTGAGATGTGCGCTAACTCTGGTGAGTGTACATTTGTGGTTGGCACTAGCTTTTCACCATTGTTTTTGTTCAAGCTTTGAATTCAAAATTACATTTGAATACATTTCATTCGAATACCCTTGTATTCAAAATTACATTTACGTATATATTTATTGCCATGCAAAGTTAAGTGAATAGCTTTTGTTAGATCTGAAAATACACTAATCAAATCAAAATGTGAAATAACAGTATTTGTAATGTGCTTTTTTGAGTGATGAATGCCAAAGGGCTTTCTTAATTATTTCTAAGTTCACTCGCAACTGAGTTACTTGTAACAATATTTACCAAATTGTTAGGAATAGTTGGGCAGAGTGGATGGGAAGACCTCATAATACCATCGTGTTCATTTGCAGCTGTCTGGATTTAAGTCCTCTTTTTTTTGTCTCTCCCAGCTTTGTTGGAACTCTTTCTTTATTCCAAGATGGGCACTATGCTACTGTGCTGGTTTGGCACCTTTCTGTACCTGTTTATCTGCAGAAGAGAAGCATAAGATTCCTAATAGATCCCTTTGATCCTTTGTGCTTATTTGCATTGTGATACCATCCAGTTATATTCTCTTGCTGACGCTGTGGATGAAACTCATACTGTTTTGGTTATTTTGCCTTTCTTGACTGAATCCTTGTAAGTCTTTGCCTTTCACCAGTGATGGCACAGGGACTTGGAATTTAGCTTTCTGATGTGCAACATCCAGATTAGACACTTAGGCAGAAGATCATAGAATCATAGAATAGCTAGGGTTGGAAAGGACCTTAAGATCATCAAATTCCAACCCCCCTGCCATGGGCAGGGACACCTCACACTAAACCATATCACCCAAGGCCTCGTCCAACCTGGTCTTGAACATTGCCAGGGATGGAGCATACACAAACTCCCTGGGCAACCCATTCCAGTGCCTCATCACCCTAACAGGAAAAAATTTCCTCCTTATATCTAATCTAAACTTCCCCTGTTTAAGTTTTAACCCATTACCCCTTGTCCTATCACTACAGTCCCTAATGAAGAGTCCCTCCCCAGCATCTCTGTAGGCCCTCTTCAGATACTGGAAGGCTGCTATGAGGTCTCCACGCAGCCTTCTCTTCTCCAGGCTGAACAGCCCCAACTTTCTCAGCCTGTCTTCATACAGGAGGTGCTCCAGTCCCCTGATCATCCTCGTGGCCCTCCTCTGGACTTGTTCCAACAGTTCCATGTCCTTTTTATGTTGAGGACGCCAGAACTGCACACAATACTCCAGGTGAGGTCTCACGAGAGCAGAGTAGAGGGGCAGGATCACCTCCTTTGACCTGCTGGTCACTCTCCTTTTGATGCAGCTCAGGATACGGCTGGCTTTCTGGGCTGCGAGCTCACACTGCCTGCTCATATACATATTTCTCATCAACCAACACCCCCAAGTCCTTCTCCGCAGGGCTGCTCTGAATCTCTTCTCTGCCCAACCTGTAGCTGTGCCTGGGATTGCTCTGACCCAGGTGTAGGACCTTGCACTTGGCATGGTTAAACTTCATGAGGTTGGCATCAGCCCACCTCACAAGTGTGTTGAGGTCCCTCTGGATGGCATTCCTTCCCTCCAGCATATCAACAGAACCACACAGCTTGGTGTCATCAGCAAACTTGCTGAGGGTCCACTCAATCCTGCTGCATCTTCTCTTTTCACATTGTCTCTCACTCTTAACCCATGTGAATTCCTATTTTCTGGTTTAAAACAGTAAGCATTTGATTTGATTTGTTTTGATTGTCTTTTGTGTGTGTCAGTGGCAGAGTAGTGTTGTTCAGCCAGTACACAGATACACCACCAAATGCAAGTAATTTGTTTTTCTCAGTGTCTTTTGTCATCCATGTCTTTGCTTTCAACCCTAGTTTAGGCTGCTGTCACTCTGTTTTCTCCATATGCCAGAGCCTATGCAGAATATCATGGTTTATTTTCTCATATGTACAAAACCTGGCCTTATCTGTTCCATTCATAAACATTAATGTTGTCTGTGAATTGATTTTGCAGTTCTGTAAAGAATCAGCCTCCCTGTTTTTGCAAGCTCCACAAACATGTTTTGATTTACTTCCTGTCTCATCTTTCTCCCAACCTTCTTTTTTTATCTTTTTTATTTTTTAAAAATCAGCTGTATTCAGGCCTTGTCTTTGCAGCATCTGCCTTCAGGAACAGCACTTCTCCCTGATTCCATTCCATCCAGCTCAGATGGACTCAAGGCACATTGACTGCAAGTGTATGACAAGGAGGTGATCCTGCCCCTCTACTCTGCTCTCGTGAGACCTCACCTGGAGTATTGTGTGCAGTTCTGGTGTCCTCAACATAAAAAGGACATGGAACTGTTGGAACAAGTCCAGAGAAGGGCCATGAGGATGATCA